GGGCCGCCTTCTCTTTGCCCAGGTGGCTGACGGGAAGGGCTTGGGGGACCGCCTTCTCTTTGCCCAGGTGGCTGACGGGAAGGGCTTGGGGGACCGCCTTCTCATTGTCCATTGGCTGATTCGCTCATCACTCATTCAGTGTTGGTCCGTCCACGGCTGCTGCTCATCCACTCGCTGTTGCCGGGACTTGGGTTACTCTCCACTACATTTTGTCTCTGGCTAAGGCACGTGCGGGCATTGAGGGCGGGGTCCGGGGGAGGGGCTGTTGGCAAATCTCGCCTGCTGGTTGTTCCGAATTCTATCCCAATTCCAAAATTCTGGAAAATTTTTATTTTCGAGGAGCATTCTTACCATATCTTAAGAAAAATCTCCCTCTCTGCTACGTTCTAAGGATTTGACTGGTCGGACGTGAGGCTGGTGATTCAACCGTCAGAAGCAGGAAGGACTTCAGTTGATAAACACAAGGTCAGCTCCATGCCTTGGGTCCCTCAGTTATCACAGAAATGTGTGGGGGATAGAAAAACCAAAGTTCCGGGTTAAAGAAATTTCAAAAGCAAAATCAAGCCTGGGATTCACACTGCTGGGCTTTCCAGAGGATTGACCGCCTTATTCATTTCCAGGAACGTCATGGCTTCAGAACCCTTCCTGCCCGCAACATCCCGGACACCTTCTTGCTCCCCGGGGTGCCCCGTGAGGTTACCTGGCAGGATCTCAGAGAACCCAGAAATCGGTCAAGGCCAGGAGAAGGAAGTCGAACTCCACAGGAGGTCTGAGCTGGAGAAAGGGACCTACAGTGGCAGGGACAGACCATTCTTCACGGCAGTGACAGAGACAAAAAGGGTGGCGTGAAGGATTCGGTGACAAAAGGCGAGGAAGGCCACTGGCCACCAGATGGGACTGCAGCTGCCAGGCAAGCACACCCCACTCTCCGTGCCTGCAGCTGGCCCTTTGCCCCAGACAGAAGCACGAGGTAGGAGTACTCCCAGGTGGCCACTTAGGTCTTCTGGGAAACGAACTGGATCCACAGAAGGTGGGAAGGCCCTCAGTCTGGGTCCCTTCCCGAGGGAGCTCAGGTCAGGTTTGTGTGTGAGATCACGGCCGGCTGCAGTCAAGGGTCTGCAGAGCCTGGGGGCCTCGCCCGAATCCCAGCTCTACCCTCACCTGAAGCCAGTCTCTTCGCTGCCCTGGACCTCAGCTGCCCCACCTGACGGAAGAATAAGGACATGGTGCAAGCTGTTCGCTACAGTGTTGGGCACAGGGAAGGGGGGATTTCTAAAGCTCTCAGGGTTCTTTAGTGAGAGCAATTCCCCTAAAGCCCATTGTCTCCGTGAAGGGAACATTTAAAACAGTTAAATGACTTTTCTTCTTCTTCTTTTTTTTTAACAGAAAGAAGTAAAAACTGGTAGAACAAGTTACAATGGCCTGTATTTCATTTTCTGTAAATCCCACCCATGTCATCCCCTCAGGGTTCAAGCAGGGCATCAGAATAACCCGGTGAGGACCTCCCGTCTTAGGGGCTAACTTTCCTTCCACCCCCATCATTTGCCTCATCTGGGTGTGGCTCGCTGGGGTTTGAGGAGGGTGTCAGAGGTCATCAGGACTCCCAAAAGACGATGTCTCTTTCCCAGGTGAGGCCTCTTTTATGGTGGCACCCCCCCCCCCCCCCCCACGGGGGGGGGGGGGAATACCCTCCTTGTCATAAACTAATGCTGGCACTGGCTGGTCCCTTTGTGCCTTTCATGTCACATCCCTCGTGTGGCTCCAGGAAGCAACATGGGGTCTTGCAAAGAGTTCTCTGGGTGGACAAGTTTCTTCCTTTAAGCCAGTGGATGCGGTGGCCTTTGAGGGTGATATTGAACTCACAGCCGCAGTTGACAGAATGCTGAGCCAGGTTTCAGGGCTCAGTGTGTCTGAGTTGAGAGCTTGTCAGCATTACTCCTGACAGGAGGCATAAGAAGATTTTCACTTAGAGCCTTCATTTTCAATACATCCATCCCACCTTGCAAGCTTCAGACACCCCCCGCCCGCCCCCCCCCCGGAGAGCAGAAGAGGGTGAAACTGGTCCCATCCAATTCGGACTGTGTCTGTGTTGTCACTAGGCCATAGTAAAGGTCGAATGAGAGCCTGTGACTCTAGAATAGATCACCAGTCATTCAGAGGCTGCTGAAATATGGCCAAACCACCAAAGCCACAGACTAGAGAGTCAGGTCACTGTCACCTCTCTATCGGGACTCTTATTTTCCCAGAGGTACCTTCTGAGCTCTTTAGTGGTGACCCTGGAAAATGCAAATGATGGAGCCCGTGGTGCACAGGGAGGGGACCAGGGCCCAAAGACTCAACTCCACACCGTTTGCTTGCTGCCGAGGCTCGATCTTGACTTCTCAGGAATCTGGGCAACAGAACAACAGTCACGCTCACACCTTCAGAGGCAGGGGAATGTGGTGACTAAGCCTCAGTCTCATCATCAGGCACCTCTGCCCAGGGGTGAGGGCCTTAGGTGGCAGATGCAAAAGAGACAAACACTCCCTGCACTGCGGGGTGGCAAGGCATACCCACCCCAGTGATAAGAGCGATTGCCAACATTCACCAGGATGGAGCTGAGGGCTTTGCTTGTGTTGCCTCACCTGCCAAAGCCTGACAGGGTAGGAGTCATGCCCTACTCTGCAGACTGAAACTGAGCGTCAGGGTGGCTGAAGGGCTTGCCCAGGGTCACATAGTGTGTGTGTGGTAGCTCCAGGATTTGAACTCAGAATCCAAGTTCTCAAGTATCTCTACTCTGTATGTGTGTTGGAGCCAGTGGCCCAGAGTGGAGACTCTGGACCCCCTAGGGTGAGGACCAGCAACTCTTTATGAGCTCACAACACACGCAGGATGCTATGAATTTGATAACAAAATTGATTTTTGCAGAAATTCATGGAAGAAAAGAAAGGTATCCTGAGGGGCTTTATGGAATTTCCCATCGGCTTCCAGGTGGGCAGGAATACATCTGACCCATTTCCCTCCCCAGCGTGTGGCAAATGGGACAGCTTGGGCCCTGGGAGCCCTGGTTGGAACCAGACCTCAGCCACTTCCCTTCTGTGGTTCTCACACAAAGCCCACAACTTGACTCCAGTAGTGAGGGGTGGGTGTGCCTCAGCACTGTTTGCCTTGGTAATGGCAGGATTAACAGGTTTTTCAGAGTTCACTTTTATGTGGAAGTGGGCAGTGTCTTGTTCTAATCGTCATTTCTAGACCAGCGATAGACCCAAGGTACACATCCCTGGGGAGAGTGGGCCTCGGGGCGCCCTTGGGACCCACATGGCTGAGATGACCTTTCCAACAAGCCTGCTCCTTTAGGACCTGGGCCCCAGGGGGCCTCTCCCTCTGGCTGCCTCCAGTTCCAGCCGTTCCTGGCCACAAGACGAGGACCCCTACACAATACTTTAGCACCCTACTCAGCTCAGCGCCAGCGTTTCTGATTGGCTCCTGCTCAGCTCAGCACAAGCATTTCTGATTGGCTCCTGTTTAATAACTGCAAAATACCCGTTTTCTGCTTACAAAAGGTGTCATGTTGACACCTGAGCAAAACTAAGAAAGTGTAAATTGCACCTGCTCCTTTTTATGTGTGGTCCCCTTGCCTTCCTCGCTTCTTCGGAATGGGCTCTACCAATAGGACCAGACTTAAGAAGGTAGTGTGACAGAAAGGCTGAAGGCCAGGGGATCAGATCACAAGGGCTCTGCTCGGGTCGCCTCACAGCTGGGAGGATTGAGTGAGGGACTCACAGGCGCTGACTGTGCGCAAGTCTAGTGACACGCGTTCAAGACACCAAGGGCGCATCCTCGGCCCCCGCCTGGATTACAGCCTGGTGTCTGACTGCATTCATTGTCTTCTTTTCCTCCTCGCAGCCGCAGTGAGGGGCACATATATGAACTGATTACTCAGGATCAGAACTGAAGCTTGGATAGACTTCTGCACCCAGGGATGATTCCCCTAAACCCCATCTGTGAGTCGAATTGCTAGACCAAAGGGCAGGCTGACGAGGGCCCCGTGGGCCTAGTCTTACCCTTGTCAATCCTGGTAGTGTGTTTCCTTCTTGTCAAGAATGATCAGGAAAAATGACTGCTTCTTTGTAAGGTGCTGGGAGAGCATCTCTCAATTTTAAGGCAGGACTTCAGGGTGACTCTGGACCCTGCACGGTCCAGGAACCACCAGGAAGGAATGTAGGTGGTGTCGGGTAGAACTCATAAGGATCTGAGGTACTTTGTGTAAAAGGTGCTGAAGGTGGTCCACACTTGCCCATGTCCT